ACAACTAAGATACAGAACAACCATCACTGAGACTGCCTAAAATCTAGCTGAATAGAAGTCCTATAACTAAAAATATATAGAAGAAGCCACATCAAGACTGGCAGGAGAAGCAGACACATGAAATGGGCTGTACCCACTCATGTGTGGTGTTCACAAATCAGGAGGGATTATCTCAGCTGTGGAGGTACCCCAAGGAGTAAGGGGTCCAAGCTCCATACCAGGCCCCCAAGACCATTGTTCCAGTACCAGAAAGAGAAATCCCCATAACTTCTGACCGTGAAAACCTGTGAGGATTGTGGCTAAGTGAGATGGAAAGCTTCTGGAGTCCCAGGCAGTCCCTCCTAAAGGGCCTATTTACAATTTTACACAGACTCACTCACTCTCAGCTCCAGTGCTGGGGAAGCAGCTCAGAGGTGATGGACATATGGGGAGGAATTGAATTGTCTAGCATCCAGGCAAGGGCTAAAGGGATAGCTTTCTCCCAGAGAGAAGTCCTAGCAGAGGCCATTGTTCCTCTAATCAGTCCTGTCCCCACAGTTCCACCAGGTGGGGGCCGTATCTGAGTCTCCATCAACTTGGCTAACATTGTCTGGCCCTCTCCGGTGATTTCCTGAGACCTTGCTCCACCCACTTCTGGGCCCACCCAAGCCATTTCCAGCAGCTTTTCCATACAGATGACTGCTCTTGGCTCATGCTTCAGACTTTACAAAAATCTCTCAAACAAGCAGAATCTAGCTGCAACATGGCTTGTACCTCTTGCTAAGTGGTCCCAGGCACAGCAATAGCAGCAGCAATAACGGTCTCGGTTCATAGCTTGGCCTCTTTCAAGCACTTCTATGCCCAGCCCAAGTACCAGCCATTTTCAGATTGCTCTGTAGCTCTTGCCAGGTAGCCCCAGGGAGGGCACAAGCAGTGGCTGATCTTGGCCTGCCACTACCAGGAGGCCCCAGAGTCGGCACACATGGTAGACAGCTTCAGACCACTCTGAAGAACCTCCATAACTAACACACTCAAGGGGTGGACTCAGAAGGCACCAGTGCACTGCTGAAGGGAATCCTGCTCTGTGGCATTGGTCCCTGCACAGAAGATCCTCCGTGGTGATCGAGGTCAGTCCTCGCAGCCTATTCTCCCATTGACATGCCAACAGCAGTCAAGGCTCTACTACAACCGCAGGGCACACAAAATCCACACAAGGATACACCTGGAGCATCCAGATCAGGGGACCAGGGACACTCTGCTACTGGGGCCTCATAGGACACATACTAATAAGGCCACTCTACCAATACCAGGACATAGCATCTCTACTTAATACATAGAAACAAGCACAAAGGGGCAGCCAAGGTGAGGAGACAAAACACGTCTCAAATAAAAGAACACAGCAAAACGTCAGAAAAAGAACACAATGGAGACTAGCAGTTTACCAGATGCAGAGTTCAAAACACTGGTTATAAGGATGCTCAATGAACTTAGGGGAAGAGTAGATGAACTTAGTGGGAACTTAATGAAGAGATAAGAAACATAAAAATGGAACTTGAAAAAAAAAAAAACCCAGTCAAAAATGAAGAATGCACTAACTGAAACGAAGACTACGTTATAGGGAATCAACAAGAGTAGATGAAGCAGGGGATCAAATCAGAGATTTGGAAGATAAGGAAGGAAAAAACAATCAGAACAGCAAAAAGAAAAAAAGAACAAAAAAATATGAGGATAGTATAAGGAGCCTCTGGGACAACTTCAAGCATACTAATATTTGCATAATGGGGCTGCTGCAAGGAGAGAGAACAAGAAATTGAAAACCTATTTGAAAAATAATGATAGAAAGCTTCCATTACTCAGAAAAAATGACCCAACCATTCCAATTTTGAGTAAACTGGAGAACCTCAAAACACTAAATCAAATGATATAATCAATCATCCATATGTTCATTGCAGTATTATTTACAAGAGCCAAGATGTGGAAATAACCTAGTGTCCATCAATAGATTAATGGAAAAAGATATGGGGCGTATATAAATAGAACATGACTCAGTCATAAAAATGAATGAAATCTTGCCATCTGCAACATGAATGGGCAGAGTATTGTGTTTAATGAAATGTCAGGGAAATGCAAATGCTATATTTCATTTCTTTGTGGACTCTAAAAAATAAAATATATAAACAAGTAGAGCAGAAACAGACTCATACATACAGATAACATTTTGATGACTACCAGAGGGGAGGGGTGTTGGAGGGATTGTGAAAAATGTGAAGGGATTAAGTACAAATTGATTGTTACAGAATAGCAATGGGGATGCAAAGTACAGCTTAGGAAATATAGTCATTACTGCAGTAACTATGTATGGGGCCCTCTTGGTTAGCTCAGTTGGTTAGGATGTCATACTGATAGGCCAAAGTTGCAGGTTTGATCCCGATCAAGGCACATACAAAAACCAACCAATGAATACATAAATAAATGGAACAACAAATCAATGTGTTTTCCTTTCTAAAATCACTTTTTAAAAGTTTATTTTTAGAGAGGGGGAGGGAAAAAGAGAGGGAAACATCATGTGAGAGAGACATCCATCAGTTGCCTCTCGCATGCTCCCAACTGGGGACCTGGCCTGCAATTCCAGGCATGTGCCCTGACAGGGAATTGAACATGTGACCTTTTGGTTTGCAGGCCAGGACTCCCCTTAACCTGAATCCACTGAACCACACCAGCCAGCACTCTAAAATCAGTTTTTTTAAAAAGCCATGTATGGTGTCAGATGGGTAGTAGATTTATTGGGGTGATCACTTCGTAAGTTATGTAACTGTCTAATCACTGGATTGTATACCTGAAACCAATATATTTTATGTCAACTGTAATTGAAAAATAAATTATTTTAAAAAAATTTACTGGGGGAAATGAGAAATGGTGGTGTTTTTTAGTAAGTAGGACTGAGTCAATTGGACATCCATATAAGGGGAAAATAAACCTTGATTACAACTTCATATTTTTTACAAAAATTAATTTGTGATAAATCAGACCTGGATGTGAAAGGTAAAATAAATGGCATCTAGAAGAAAACATGGACTATCTTCATAGCCTTGGCAAAGGTAAAGCTTTATTATATAGGATACAAAAACGCATTAATCATAAAATATCAGCAAAACCAGGTTTACCTCAAACATTTCTGTAATTCTTACCTTCTTCTCCATCTCTACGATCGTTGACCTATTTTAAGTGTCACTTTGGTTTGGGGGGTGGGGCAGAACACACCACACGAAGATGTGCCCCAGTGGTATGCTGACTACTTTGATGTAAAGGCAATGTTAGCTTCAGGCTCAAACTTCTGCCCTCCTCCCCCAAGCACCTATAGGAATTTGCATTAGAAGTTTTGCCTATTAGAGATTATCAGAGATAATTTCTTTTGACTTATTTATAGGGCAGGGCAAATTACCAATTACTGAATGTCTGCTCTTATCATCCTACAATGACCTTTTGAAGTTCCGAAGGCATCTTATCTCATCCCCAGCTCTGAATGTCTCCTATACCTCAATCCTCCTTTTTATCTCTGAACATGTCAGGTATTCATGGTCTCCGACTTTCTCATGTATATGAGATTCCCAAGCATATGCTATTAACTTTGATTTCCTCTTGTCAATTTGTCTTGTGATGATTTGATTATTTGACAAGCCAAAGGAACCAGAAAGGGAAATTATCTCCCTTCCCCGCACCTGTAAAACAGCACCTGTCCCTCCCACAGCTCTTCACCTTTTCTCTTTATTTTTCCACAGCACAGAGAGCATAATCTATTTACTTAAAATGCACATTTCACTTTACTGCCTTTTTTTGATTAAAAATCCTGTAATGGGTTAGCATCATTAAGAGAATCACATCCTAGCTTCTCAGCATACCACACATCTAGTTCTTTTTACCTGGCAAGTCACTTCTCCAGCCAGTCTGCGTCTAACATGAATTTTGGCTCTAATTTCAGAGTTCACGTCACGTTTTCTAACACACATCCTATTTTGAATTACCTTTTCCATTTCCATCAAGCTATGGTAATTCTAATTCATCTTTAGAGGCTGACAGGTATTGCATCTTTGAGGAACCCATTTCTATAGCTTATGTTCCGCTAGATGACCCACCTTGCTGTCACATGACTATTCCCCTTCTTTCATTTTACCACTTAGAACAGCATTACTTTAAGTTTCTGCAGAGCATTTAACACTTTTGAATCCCAGGGCTTATCTTAGATTTTGGGTGTACTAATATTCAAGCGTAGGGACTTGTTTATCTCTACTGACTGAGCCGCTTACTCCCACTCCCTCTTGCTCCTCCCATCCCTCAGAGAGTAACTTGCTGGAAGCTTCATCTGATCCAAATACGTCAGGGGCGGCTGAGCGAGAGCCTGGCCGACTAGGCCGAAAAGAAAAGCAGCAATGAGACAACTTCAGGTCACTTTCCTCCTTTGAGTGCCTTCCGAAAACAAAAACAAAAACAAAAATCTTTTCTTCCTAATTAGGAAAACCAAGTGGAAAGAAAACCTTGGCCTGTGTTTTTCTGGCACATAGAGCAGTTTACCGCACCGGAAGGAAAACGCCTCGCTCCGTCTATCCTCTGCAGGAACAAAATGACTTCCGGCGAGTCCTGAGTTAGGACTCCCAGCGCCGAGATCTCAGGAGCGACGCCCTGCCACACCGGAACTTTCACCCGGAAAACAACCCGTAGCGGCAAATGACGTCACGGGGCACGAAAGCCGTGGTTGCCTCCGGTAACCTTAAAAGCTGTGATGAATTGTGTCAATGGAGCACCATGTGACTTGTTGTTAATAGGCACACAAACGCCCCCAAAAGCCACACACTCCTGAGGGATACAAAACGCTATAAAAGTTCTTTTAAGCTACTACTACCCCAGAAGTCTCTCTCAGAGTACGGGCGCGCGTTGAAAAACGGCCTACTAAGACCGCCGAAGCCTTCGTAACCAGGACTGCGAGGGGCGGGGACTGGGCGTCCTGGTGACCGGAAGCGGAGTGAGCCGGCTGACTCGTACCTCCAAGGTCCCAGCGAGCCCCGCGCTTGCCTTTCGCCTCTCCTCCCCCGGCGGCACGCTGCGTGGCTGCTCGTTGGCTACTTAGGAGGAAGCTCGGTTTGTGTCTCTCCAGAAGTTTCCCCCTTGGGCGGCGGCGGAGCTTCTATCGTCCGTAATAGCAGCTCCAGCAACGGCAGCAGTGAGTATTAGGGATGGCGGCGGCTGCAGCAGGACATACAACAGCCCAGAGGTACATGATTTCTCTTCTTTTGGGTATTTATTTTTATCCTCTCCCCCTTTTCCTTGGTTAGTGAGCCCTGCTCAAGTCGTTGTTTTCTTGGCAGGTTTCTCCCGAGCTTCTCAGATGCTCTGGTAGACGAGGACCCCCAGGCGGCGTTAGAGGTGAGAGAACCGGTCTCAGCCTGCTCTACTTTCCTTTGGGCAATGCCGGGAACTCGGCCTCTTCCCAGCACATGCCTCTCTGGGATCGGGTGGGCTGTTTTTGCGCTGTCTCATCCCTAATATTGACAAACTCTTGACTCTCTTTTTCTCTTCCATATTGTCCTGGCTACCCCAGATCTCTGTTCTTGCAGCCTCCCACTCCTAGACTGTTTCTGTATACTCGCGTCTATTTAGAAAGACTGTTTTCTGTAGTTGACATCCATAGTTGGCTTGGAAGGATTTTTTTTTTAAATGACATTTGACTATAAGAATAACTGAAATCTAGGCTTGATGGTATTTGTTTAGTTCGTTTTTTCTGTTTAACAATCACCCTTGCCATTCGTATATACCATGCAATGTGCAAAGTGTATGGACTCAGAGTACCATAGCAACTGCCTTTTTCCCCTATGACCCTGAAAATTTCCAGATGCCCTGCTGCTGTTCATTATTGACTCATTTGTTTATTCATTAGAACAATATTTTTTGGAGTTGTTATGTGCCAGGCACCCATTGAAGTCTTATTTACATATTTAATTGACTTGCAAGGCACTTGTGTGAAGTGAAAGACTATAAAGCTTTAAAAGAGAGGAAAAGAGCAAGAGTTAAATAATATAAAGTAGTAAGGAGAGCCCAAGCTAAGGCTACATGAAGCAGTGGGTCACAAAATTTAGCCAGGGGTTTCTTGCTTTGAAACTCTAGGAAAAGAACCCAAACCCTGTTCTGTTGTTATAATCTAACACACTTAAGGTTACCAATTTGAGGCAAGAGAACTGTTTTCCTATGACTTCTAGAAATAATTTGCCACATTCTAGTGGAGTCTCTCTAAGGAGGTGATGTTTGAGCAGAGACCCGAGGGAATGAGTTTGGAAGCTCTGGAGAAAGCATTCATTTAATGCCAAAATCCTGAGAGTGAAGGAAGCCTGTACAAGGAGCATTAAAAAGGCCCATTCAACTAGCGTGGTCTGAAAAAGGATTATGAGGTGAGGTGAGGAGACCCTGAGTTAGGTCCCATAGTGCCTCTTAGGCCAGAGTATGTTTTTGGATCTGGATATGAAGACCTTCAAATAAAGTGGTTGATTAATTAGTTGTACTGTAATGTTTCCTGGTGAGGCCTCTGGGATCAGTAGTATAATAACGTTATAGGAGGTAACTGAGAATTTTTCTCCACAATTACTTAAGTCAGCTAATTGCTATTTTCAGAGCTTATATTTGTTATGGTCCTCTTAGGCTCAGTTCCTACTTTGGAAATTCAGTTCATAAAAGTTAATTTTAAAGGATATTGATAATACTTTCCATCTCACTTGTTTTACTTTTTTAAATTTTTATTGAAGTACTACATGTAGATAACATCTAAAATCTGCAACTAATGCAGTTGTTTTATGTATATGTATTGTCACACAGAGCAGCAATGTAGAACACTTTCATTCTGAAGCTTCTCTTGTGCTTCTTCACAGCCAATAATTTTCCTTTCCTACTGGACAACCTTCATTGTGACCTCCTATAGCATCAGTTTTGCTTGTTCTTGTACTTCACATATACAGAGTCACAGGCTAGATATTCAGTTGAGCGTAGGCACTTTTTCTTGCTTTAAACGTTTTGTGAGGTACATTCATACTCTTCTATGAAGTGGTAGGTCTTTTTCATTGCTGTGTATTTTTCCATTTATAAAAGTAGCACAATTTACTCCAACTATGGGCATAGAATGAGACTGCATGTGTCCAAATCCTGGTTTCGCGGTAACTTTGTAACCTCAGAAAAGTTCCTGATACTGTTCTGGATCAGAATTCCTCTTTGTAAATTGGAACAAAATAGGACCTTGAAAGGGTTAGATGAAGGTAAGTAATATGAGGTATATGTTGAGTCCCTTTGCTCTCTGTGTTTAGCCACCCTGGCTTGCTTTCTGTTACTTGAATTTGTCATGCTCAATCCTGTTGAGCAGTCTTTGGATTTGCGGTTCCTTTTGCCTAAAATACACTCTCTTCTGACCTAGCTCATATTCTGCTTGGGAATGAATGCTCATCTCCTTAGATTTTAGGTGAAATGTCACCTTTTCAGAGAAGCTATCTTCTCTGACCACCTTATGTTTAGTGTGGACCCTAATGTATGTGTCAAGAGAGCAGGAGTTTTTGTGTATATTATTTACCACTGTATTCTTAGTGTAGTGCCTGGGATGTGTAGACATGCAAATGTGCTACATGACTCTTACCATAATTCTTGCAACAACTGTGAGGTGGGTATTTGCATTTTCTAACAAGGAAGTTGAGGCTAAAGAGATTTAACTTGTTCAAGATTATACAGTTTAGAAGAGGTAAGTCTCTGGGTTCAGTGCGTTCGGGTCATCTTCTGGAGGAGGGACAGTGTTGGGGGTATATGATGTAATTAAAGGTTTGGTAGCTGACTTTGAAGGAGCTAACCATGGATAACTTTGTTGAGAGCATAGCTGGTTAGCATAAATGTGCATAGATATCAGTTTTGCATGGTTATGTGTTTTTTTCTCCAGCAGTGTCAGGCAGTTGAGGAAGGGAGAAGGGTTGATACTGTTTACTATCCATGATTGGGAATTAGCTGTGGATGGACGAAAATAGAAAATGGGATCAAATTAAGATACCCAGACCTAAAGGCCTTCAAACTTTGAGTCAGTCTGAGCAAGACTGTATTTGCTTTTAACTTTAACACCATTTACCTTGTTGGGTAGCATTTTATTTATTTTTATTTTTTATTGAATTTATTGGGGTGATATCGCATTTTAAAAGAGCTTAAAATTTTAAAAATTTGGAAATGTATTTCTAAGAGATCCTAGTCTTAAGCAATCTTACTGCCTTGAAAAGGAGTTTTTCCCCTATTCTGGGTTACCAGGTACTACTCTCATGGTTACCTTAGTCAAGATTTCAGCATAGTTATATTTTATAGTTCACCAGATTTTTTTATTTTTTTATTTTTGAGAACTATAAATTGCTTGACTGTAACTATCTGAGTAGGTATAACTTTGGACATATTTACAATGTTCCCAATTGGTCTCCATTAAATAATAGCTTTTTGCCACTGTAATTCAAATTTTTTGCCTTTTCAGATTCCTCCCTTTAGTCCCTTTGTATTCCAGCAGCCAGCAACTGTTGTCACAGAAACAGTAGAACTCTGAAAACAAGCCACAAGTCAGGTGTAGTTTAATACAGCCACAACTTGTTATTTTACCTTCACTTCTTCTGAATTATATATTACTTACTCCAAATAAACTGATTATTGTGCTTTATTCACGACTCACAAGTTTATGTATCATAATGATAAGTTTGTGCTCAGTCTTTCAGTAACTTTTTTTAGTAACAGCTTAATAAGTCAATTGCTTACTTAACTGAGTCACCATAAATTGTACTTAACCAACATTTGGTTTGTGTTTTTAAAGTGTATTTGCATGTTGGTTGTTTGAAATTCATAAGTTTTTACCTGACTTTTTTTTTTTTAAGATTTTATTTATTTATTTTTAGAGAGGGGAAGGGAGGGAGAAAGAGAGGGATAGAAACATCAGTGTGTGGCTGCCTCCTGTCCCCCCGCTTGCCCGTCCCCTTGGTACCCAGCCCACCACTCAGGCATTTGTCCTAGACTAGGAATTGAACCGGCAACCCTTTTGTTTGCAGGTTGGCACTCAATCCACTGAGCCACACCAGTCAGGGCTTACCTGACTTTTACGGAAAAGGAATGTTATTTTCTTTGTACCCACAGTGTCTGGCCTTTCTTGGTTACGTAATATGTATTTAAAAGTAGTTTTTGAATTGAAGATTTAGATACTAATATATCTGTAACAGTTTTTTGGACCCATAGTATATCTGTTTTGCTAAGAGGCTAGAAATTTGGTTTGCAGATATATTTGAGTAGGTAGGTAAGAAGCTATTAGCTTCAAAATTGAAAGTTTAATGTAAGATGGTATTATTTAACTTAGGAATTTCAAAGTATTAGAAAAACAATACAAATCTCAGATGGTATGTGAAAAAAACTTGCAGTAAAGAAACATTACCAAGAGGCGGTGTTTTTAGTGGTTAAAATCCAATTTGGAATCAGGCAGACCTGGATTTGAAACCTGTCTCTGGCACAGTCTTGTCCCTAATTACGAAGTGAGGGAATTAATCTGCATATTTAGGGGGAGAGCCCTCTAGTGAGAAGGAGCAGCAGGTGCAGAGTCCTGCTGGTATGTGAAGAGCAAGGAGGCCATTGGGCTAGAATGGAGGAGCAAAGGGAAGAGTAGTAAGAGATGATATCAGAGATAGGCGAGAGTCATATCAGGAAGAGCCTTTGAGGTCATTGGAAGGACTTGGGCTTTTGCTCTGGGTCATCTGGAAAAACGGAGAGTTTCAAACAGAGACATTATAACAAGATCTGATTTCCATTACTGCTTGGATTGGGACAATAAGGGTTAAGATGGTAAAAAATGGTTTGGACTTTAGGTATATGATCATCAATTATAGTATTCATTGGTTTGTGAGAATCATCACACTATTAGGTTAAAGCAAAATCAGTGTGGGGCTATTAAAATAATTTTACTTTTTAAGAAGACTACCAGCCCTGGTCGGTGTGTCTTGGTTGGTAGGAGCCTCATCCCATCAACTGAAAGGTCGTGGGTTCAATTCCCTGTCAGGGCACGTGCCTAGGTTGTGGGTTCGGTCCCTGGTTGAGTGCGTATGGGAAGCAAGCAATCACTGTTTCTCTCTCCCCCTCCCCGCTTTCTTCTCCTCCTCCCTTCCCCTGTTTCTGAAGTCAATGAATATGTCCTTGGGTAAGGAATAAAATAAAATAATAAAATAAAAAGACTACCAAATTTCTACGGTGTGTGAGTAGTAGGCAGAGAATCAAATTTTTCCTATTTGCCTTCATTTGTCCTTGGCCTCACTGATTGGGCTATCTTTTCTCCCATCATTATTGCTCCAGCTACCACTTACATACTGTGAATGGTCAGAGTGGCAAAAATTTTAATCTCTCTAATGTTAACTTTTAATCAATTGATAGTATGAGGTATTATATCTCTGGGCTTTCAACAAAATGCTGTAATTTGTTAGGGTTGTTGCCATTGACAGAGGGTAGAAGAGGACCTATCCTCTTGATTGTGTATTTATTGATTCTGTTAACCTGCCTGAACTCTAGATTTAACTTCCAGGGTTTTGTGTTTTTGTTTTTGTCATTTTTATTGGACAGCTTCACATTTTCTAGGCATCTCAAATTCTGCATGATCTTTGAGTCTTTTCTAAATTAGAAGGAAATCTGTGGTGGTCAATGTATATCAACTAAACTCTTCAGAATAAATGAGGTGATAGTTACCATGTATCAAGTTTCTACTATAGGCCAGGGACTGCTAAGTGCTTTACATAGATACTGCATTGTATTGTGGGCTTTTGTGGGGAGAGGGGAGGACAAGGGCAGATATTGATCCTCTTGCAAAGAATAGCTCCTAGCTTGTTTTGTTGCTGTCTTTGTTCCAAATAGCTTATGACATTTATTTGATTAAAAATCATGTTTAATTAGAGTTCAGTGACTTTTAAAAAACATTTACTTATACTTAACATGTTTGTATTTGTAGGAGCTGACTAAGGCTTTAGAAGAGAAACCAGATGATGCACAAAATTACTGTCAAAGAGCTTATTGTCACATCCTTCTTGGGAATTACTGTGGTAACTTTTCCTACAAAATATATTTTCTTTAAGTGTTACTTACAAATTTTGCCCAGGATACAATGAGTCAAATAAAATGGAGATTATATTTGAGGATTTTTAAATTGGTCTTTCATACAAGGTGTTAAGTAGCTGGAATGTGTCAAACATTATATTGAGTAACACCCATGTAAATTTTATTGGTGTCCCTCCTTCAGCAGGTGGGGATTTTATACAGATTTCATTTGTGGTTATTGGATTTGCCAACAGAATAACATCATATTTACTGTTTTACAGACTATTTAAATGAAGTGTTCTTATTTGCATTTTTTATAAGGAACGTATTTCTCCATTACTTGTGTTAACTTTACTCGGGATAGAAAATCTGAGTAGGGAAAAATTAAATACCTTGAGTCAAACTGTGTAAAAGATGTGAATGAGAAAATTAGGTGAATTTTGTGACTCAGAGTTTTATTGCCTGAAGATCTCCACAAAGGAAGTTAAATATTAGGCTAATAAGAAGATAGGAGGGTAATATTTATTGAGTCATATCTTTGATTAGCTTTTTCTAATTTGAAACCACTTGTCCCTTTTATAAACTTACAGACCTAAGACTGATTCAAATTTTATGTGTAATATTTATTTGTTAGGATCTGTGAAAAACTGACTAAAAACTTTTTTCTTCCCTCATATATAGATGCTGTTGCTGATGCAAAAAAATCTCTTGAACTTAATCCAAATAATCCCACTGCTATGCTGAGAAAAGGGTATGCAATAACTAATCATCCTGTTGGGTTTGGACAGTAGATAGGTGTTTAGTTTTTTTAAATTAATGGTAAGCTTTACATAAATAGTAAATTCTGTATTTATACATTCTATAACTGAGATAGGATTTAATTTTAAATACAACTTGTGCTTCTCTTACATTAACTTTAGTATGTGATAGAGGTGTGTAGTCAGTATATTTTAAAATAATGGTGATTGAAGTAACTTATAAATGAAACAGATGGATTTCAAATCTCTTTTTGTTCATTTGGAATTTACTCTCTTTGACTAGAGAACATCTGTTTCTCAACCAAGCAGGACAGACTACATTTAAATCTATGAAAACTCTGTATCTGTGTATTTTGTATCCTAGCTTGTTTCTGTTGATAAGCGTGACTTTTCTTTAAGAAATTTCTTTAATTCCTTATTATGTAACTATACTTTGGAATGAGCAAGTGTATACAATTAAAATCAAGAAATTCTGTCTGAAGTGAGTTGAAAAATTGGATATTAATGGGAATTATACTAGATGTTATATATTTTAGAATATCTTTTGGCTTATTAATATGTACTTAAATCTTTTAAGAAGAGAGAATACTAGGATATTTAAATTAGGAAGAAGGCTATTTTTTGTGATTTCATGTGTTTGTGGTATTTGTTTTTAATATGCTCATACAGGATATGTGAATATCATAAAAAAAACTATGCTGCTGCTCTAGAAACTTTTACAGAAGGACAGAAATTAGATAGTAAGTATTGAAATTATGTTAATAAATTAATATATTATTTCTCTTGTGTCATAAACACCAGAGCTAAATTTTGTTGATGTCATCTCAAGTTAATTATTGAAAGCCAGTATCATTTTTTTCCTTCATTTCATGGTATTTTTGTGTTCATTGCAGAAATTTGAGTTTACTTAAATATTGATTAAATTGGCCATTCTTTAGTATTTAAATTACAGATAAACTTTACCATTAGAAGCTAAAAACATTCAGTATGCTCCCTATACTTAGTCTAGTTTTATTTTTTTCTGATAGGCAAGTGAAAGTTTAATTTGCTCTAATGTTCAGAAGTCTGTTTTATGCTTTATTCATATTGCTTATACAGGAAATCTTACAAAGAAGATTTTTATTAAGAATTGAAGTGTTAGGTAAATTGTGATAGGGCACAGAAGAAACATGGAGCTTGTAGAGTATTGTGAGTTTTTAAATGTCATCTCTTTGAGAGAAATACAGGTTTTCCCTGCCATCAGGAAGCGTATCATCCCTATGATGTACATACAAAAAATTTTGAGTACTCCTAGGCCCCAAAAATAACCTACCAAATCATATGAAATAACACATAAAACCTAAAATAACACTAACAGATAGTGAAAGCAGGAATGATATGATAAATGCACAGTCTGTATAAAGAAAACATAATGTTTGTACTGTGTAGGCTCACTTATGAAAAAGGCTGACTGATTTCTCCGGAAGTGTAAGATAAGCAGAACAACACCATGCTTGTATACCCATTAATCCAGAATGCCTTTATTTTGTTCATCACAATCAGAATCCTCAGTTATGTTGTTTTACATTAAGGGCACAAGCACTGTTACAAGCTTTCTTAGGGTTTTCTAATATATATCTTCCTATCAGATACACAAAATTGAGATAAAGCACAGATGCCCACAGATACAGTTCAAAGACATGGCTGGTCGATGCTGAGATACTGATCGTAGATCCTGGGCTAGGAGCTTGGTGGGTCCACTCTCTCTGCTCTAGATGCTCATGGCTCCTGTAATGGCTAATGCAAAACAAATGCTGAATGCTTTTTTCACTTTTTTCATAAAAGCAAAAATCCTATTAGATTTTCTTTCAGTTAATGAAAACAAGTAGTAGTTTAGGTCTTTCGTAAAGGTGAAGTGGTGTACTGTGAATTTTCCAAAAGCAAGGGTTACCTATATATGAAAATTGTCATAGCAGTATGGATATTTGTACACACACACAAATAATGAGGGCCAAGAATCAAAATGTCTGCAGAAGACTAAAAGACAGTGGTTGTAAGTAATCTCATAATGGTAGACCGCATAATCCTAATTGTGTACAATCATTTTATCTTCATCTCATGTTAGAGTGTTATCACAGTTCTCTAAACTAAAGCAATGGTTCCTAACTCCCTGATTTTGATTTTGCTCCCTGGGGGACATTTGGCAATGCCTGAAGAGATTTTTTGGTTATTGTGACTAGTGGATAGGAAATGTACTTCTGAAGTCTAATGAGTAGAGATCAGTGATGCTGCTAAATATCCTATAATGCACAGGACCATCTTCCACTACAGAGTATCTTGTCCAAAATATTAGTAGTACTAAGTTTGAGAAACCCTGCTCTCAAGTATTATCTGGTTATATTTTAAAAAATTTACTATGTAGTGCTTTGAATATTTGCTTTTTTGTTGTTTATCTACTTGAGAAAGAGCATTAGACCCAACTTTGCAGAGGGAACCTACAAATAAGGAAAGAAGAGATTTAGGCACTTGGCTTCTAGATCTCAACCCAGCTGCTGGTTACCAGGCTGCCACCGCATCCTGACTGAGATAGCTTATTGGGAATTCCTTTCAGGTCTGATTTTGTGTGAGAAAGAAAGCTCCTTTAAAAGGAGAGGGGTGAGGGGAAATGTAGATTAATAACTGAACTGCTACGGTTGTTTGTGGTTAAAGTTAATTTTTTAAAAATTCTTCAGGATGGACAACTAAATATTAAAGCCTATTGGTATATTTATAATTATGGTAACATAATTATAAATTAGTGGTAACAATAGGATTACTGTAAGTTCCATTAGAACAGATATGTTTGTTTAATTCACTGCTGAATCCTCAGTGCCTAGAACACTGTTTGGAACATAGTATGTATTCAATAAGTATTTGTTGAATATATATGTTAGATTGTGCAGATGAGTGATTTTACAGTCAGTCTGCTCTTTCTAGGTGCAGATGCTGATTTTATTGTCTGGATTAAAAGGTGTCAAGAAGCTCAGAATGGTAAGTCTGTAGGTTTCTCGTGGTCTTCCAACTTAAAAAGAAGTAAATGTTTGACCTTTTTTGATTTAAACAAATTTATTTTTCACTTTATAACTTGTAAGTAGTGCAAAGTCCCTTAGGTAGGAATTTCCAAAGGCATTCTTTTTGAAAAATTTATTATTCTTAAAATTGAAAATGTTTTCAAATTTATAATAAATTTGAAAATTTATTATTTTCAATAATAGCATTATTGAAATAGAATTCGTATACCATATGAATTCTAATGGGTAAGTTAACCCATTTGAAGTATAAATAGCTTTTAGTATATTCACCGAATTGTGCAGCCATCAAAAAAAGATTGTGCAGCCATCACTATAATCTATTTTAGAACATTTCATTACCCATATAGTATGTAGTCTTTTGTGTCTGACTTTTTCCACTTAGCATAATGTTTTCAAGGTTCAGGTTTCAGTGACTGGCTGACCTACCCCATTGTTCAACTTAAAAAAATAAGTGTGACCTGTGAAGTGCCAGACCTTTCTCTCTTAGGTGATGGGTTGCATTCTCCTGGGGGTGTCACACATCCGGCACAACCTGGGGCTGCTATCTTTCTTTCTTTTTTTGAAATATATTTTATTGATTATGCTATTACAGTTGTCCCAGATTTTCCCCCTCAGCCCCCTCCACCGAGTACCCCCATTCCCTCTGGCAACCACCCCATCTTAGTTTATGTCCATGGGTCATGCATATAAGCTCTTTGGCTACTTCATTTCCAGTACTATTCTTAACATCACCCCACCTATTGTGTACCTACCAATTTGTATTTCTTAATCCCTGCACCCTTACCCCCATCATTCCTCTGCCCCCCGCAACTGATAATCCTCCAAATAATCTCCATATCTGTGATTCTGTTTCTGTTCCACTTGATTGCTTAATTTGTTTTTTAGATTTAATTGTTGAGAGTTGTGAATTTATTGCCATTTTAATGTTCATAGTTTTGATCTTTTTCTTAACTAAGTCCCTTTAACATTCATATAATGACTTGGTGATGGTGAACTCCTTTAGCTTTTACCTTGTCTGGGAAGCACTTTATCTGTCCTTCAGTTCTAAAAGTTAGCTTGCTGGATAGAGTAATCTAGATTGTAGGTCCTTGCTTTTCATCACTGAATACTTCTTGCCAGTCCCTTCTAGCTTGCAAAGTTTGTTTTGAGAAATCAACTAACAGTCTAATGGGAACTCCTTTGTAGGTAACTCTTGGCTTTTCTCTTGCTGCTTTTAAGATTCTCTCTTTATCTTTAACCTTTGGATTTTAATTATGATGTGTCTTTGTTGTGGTCCTCTTTGTGTCCATCTTGTTTGGAACTCTCCGTGCTTCCTGGACTTTTATGTCTATTTCCTTCACTAAGTTAGGGAAGTTTTCTTTATTTTTTCAAATAAGTTTTCAATTTCTTGCTCTTTCTCTTCTCTTGGGATCCCTATAATTCGAATGTTGGTACATTTGAAATTGTCCCAGAGGCTCCTTAGCCTATCCCAGTCTTTTTTTGGATCCTTTTTTCTCCTTGCTGTTCTGATTGAATGTTTTTTTCTTCCTTATGTTCCAGTCATTGATTTGATTCTCGGCTTCATCCACCACTGTTGTTTCCCTGTAAATTTTTCTTTATTTCATTTAGTGCAACCTTCATGGATCTTTTTTATGCTATTGAAGTACCCAGTGAGTTCCTTGAGCATCCTAAAACCAGTGTGTTTAACTCTACATCTGATAGATTGCTTGTATCCATTGTTTAGTTCTTTTTCTGGAATTTTGTTCTTTTCTTTCATTTGGGCAGTATTTCTTTGTCTCCTCATTTGGCAGCCTCCTTGTGTTTGTTTCTGTGTATTAGGTAGAGCTGCTTTGACTCCCTGTCTTAGTGGTGTGGCCTGTTGTAGAAAAGGCACCTTTAAGTTGTATGGGGAGGAGCCTTAGGAAATTGCCAGGGCAGGGCAAGCCATGTTACCGCTCTGTGGCTCTGTGGCTCTGTGTGGGGGAGGGCTCAGAGGGGACGGTACTGCTACCTGGCCTCTGGAGTTCTGTCCAGGAGGAAACTCCCCCGTGACTCACTGTGATGCCAGACACTTCATTTTTCTCCCCGTATGTTCCTGGTGCCCTTCCAGCTGCCACCCCTGTCCTGGAGCCCAGAGGGAGTGAGTCTCTGTAAGTCCTAAGTCTGCTCTGGGCCCTTTAAGAGGAGACCCTTGAGAATCCCACAGTTTCTTCCACTGCCCCAACCCCCACTTGTTTTTACAGCCAGAAGTTATGGAAACATATCTTCCTGGCATGGGAGCCCTGGGCTAGGTGGTCTCATGTGGGGCTGGGATCTCTTGCTCCTGAGGTATCCCTCTCGATTATTATTCATCATATGAGTGTGGGACCTCCCATTCTGCATCTTAACCCCTCCTACATCTCTGGATGAATGTGACTTCAATTCCCTGGTTGTCAGATGATGGGGGTTATCCCATTCCTGCAGAGTCCCCCTGGGTTGCCGTGGATGGTGAAAATAAATCATGTCATTCCAGACATTTTCTGTCTGCCAGAAAAAGAGGGTGGTGATTCCTTCTAGTGGAGAATGCCCTGAGCCCTTCTCTTGAAGCGGCTTTTATTGAGAACGATATGCGCAGGGGTATATTGCATGCATGCAAAGCTCATCAATTAATGTCAAAAGGCTATGATTGAAGGAACACAGATATTTGCCTCAAAGTCAGAGTCTGGTAGACAGGGTGGTGCCCATTTGGCTCTGAAACCTGAGAAACTGATCACAGTATATGCTAGACCCCAAACATCAGTACTCATTAACTCGAGGGCATTCTTAGCAAAGTAAGTTTCATAGGATTTAATGCATTCCTTTTCCAGGCCTAATTGTCCCTGGGAACCGCCTGATCCAGATTAGGGCTGTACTTACCTCTAATATTATTACAAGCCTGAGCCAGGTGGATGGAGCAGAGCAGCCAAGAGATAAGGAGACTTCTTTCAGATAGAATGAGAACTCTGGACATGACAAAGCCAAGGGGTGAGAGTCTTTTGCCCCTTCTCTGCGTCCCCCAAGTCCTTCCCTGATGGCCCCTGTGCGACTCTGCCTGTCTTAGGGTGCCCCTGCCATTGAGGGGTCTTACCCATCATTGACTAAGCATCCATCCTCTTGGGCCAAACAGGGTGATGTGAGGGAGGCCGGGTCTGCTCCCTTGCCAGGGGGACAGGTTTTGTCTCAGTGGCCTATTTTCCCAAGGTCTCCTTGCTCACCTCTGGCCTTGGGGCCCTCTCACCTGCTGGCAAGGCTACAGTCCCTGAAACCAGGCAGGATGGTTCCCGACAGTCAGACTTTCATACAACTCGATTTTCTGATGGTTCTGGGTCATAGCTGTTTTGTAGTTTAATTGTAATTTTTGTTGTGGTGGTGTGAGGATGTGAGCTGTGTTTACCCACGTCTCCATCTTTACCAGAAATCTGGGGCCTGTTCCTATGAGCAGTTCCTACCTGTCGTCTTACTCCCTTTAGTGTGTCCCTGACAAAGGTCTCTTGTCTCTTACGCACCAAAGAAAAATGTGAGAAGTTGTCTTTTGCTATGTTTTTTAATCATTTAAAAAATGTTTTAAAATTACAGTTGACATATGTTGTTATATTAGTTTCACTACACCCTAGTGAGATATTACATAACTTAGTAAGTGATCATCCCAATAAATCTTGCACCCATCTGACACCATACATAGTTTTTAGAATATTTACTCGATTGCCTATGCTGTATTTATATCACCATGAGTCTTCTGAAACTACCAATTTGTACTTCTTAATCCTGTCAGCTTTTTCACCCATCCACCCCAATCACCCTCCCATCTGGCAACCATCAAAATGTTGTCTGTATGAGTCTGTTTCTGTTCTGATCGATTATTTATTTATTTATTTATTTTTTTGTTGAATTGTTGATAAATACATATTGCCATTTTATTGTTCAGATTTTTTAACATTTTTTTTCCTCCTTCTTGAAGACCCTTTTAACATTTCATATAATACTGGCTTGGTGATGATGAACTGCTTTAGCTTTTTCTTGTTTGGGAAGCTCTATTTGTCCCTCCTTTCTAAATGATAGCTTTCCTGGGTAGAGTAATCTTCATTGTAAGTCTTTGCTTTTCACCACTTTGAATATTTCTTGCCAGTTCCTTTTAGTAGTCTGCAAGATTTCTGTTGAGAAATCAGCTGACAGTCTTATGCCAGCTCCCTTGTAGGTAACTAATTGCTTTTCTCTTGTTGCTTTTAAGATTCTTCATCTTTAACCTTTTGCATTTTAATTATGATGTATCTGGGTGTGGGCTTCTTTGGGTTCATCCTTTTTGGGACTCTGTACTTTCTGGACTTGTTTATTTCCTTCACCGAGTTAGGGAAGTTTTGTCATCATTTTCTCAAAAAGGCTTTCAGTTTCTTGTCTTCTCTCTTCCTTCAGCACCCCCATGATGCAAAAGTTGGTGTGTTTGAAGTTGTCTCGGAAGATCCTTACACTATCCTTATGTTTTTTGGATTTTTTTTCTTTTTGCTGTTCTGATGGGGTGTTTTTTGCTTCCTTTCCTCCAAATCTTTGATTTGATCCTCAGCTTCATCTACTCTATGTTGATTCCATACAATGTGTACTTTGTTTCAGTTAGTATATTTTTCATTTCCACTTTGTTTAGTTCTTTTTCTGGAGTTTTGTTCTGCTCTTTCATTTGGGACCTTCTTTCTTTGCCTCTTCATTTGGCAGCCTCCCTGTGTGTGTTTCCATATATTAGGTAGAGTTGCTACATCTTCCAGGCCTGGTAAACTAGCGGCTTGGTAAACTCGCTTAATATTGTATATGTTCTGTAGGGTCCAGGGGCACAGCCTCCCCAATCACCCAAGGTGGGTATTTACGGTAAGCCCCCGGTGTGGGCTGTGTACACCCTTCTCTTGTAATTGGACCTTGACTGCCTTTGGCACATCAGTGGGTGGGATTTACCCCCAGGCCAATCAGCTGCAAATTGAAAACAGACCACCATGGAGGGTTAGCTCTGCGGGAGCCTACTCCACAAAGTGGAACTTACTTCAACAGGGCTCTGGTGCCTGCTGGCTCTGCCCCTAAATGTGTCACTTGTGGAGGTGGTTAGGTAGTGGTGCTTTGATGTAGTCTGAAGCTGTGCACTGGGTACACTGGCTCTAGGGCCTCCTGGGACATGCCAGGCAAGCTCAGCCACTGCCTGTGCTCTGACCGGAGACATCTCTCATGAGCTACAAGGCTGTGTACAAATGGCTGCTACTTACGCTTAGCTTGGAGGTGCCCAGGTGAGGCCAAGCTGTGAACCAAGTTCAGCTGCTGCTAGTCCAGGCCTGGGTCCGCAAAGCAAGAGTACAGGGCTTTCTGAGGCCAGATCCTGATTGTTTGAGAGGTTTTCAGAAAATCTGCAGCTAAGAAAGGCCATTTGTATGAAAAATCCACTGGAAACAGCTTGGTTGGGCCCAAAATCTGGGTGGGGCAGGGCCTCAGGGAATCACCAGGGCAGGGCAAACAGTGTGAGCCAGGTTTAGGGAGTCTCAGATAATGTCGCTTGCCTGCCAGCTCTGTGTGGGGAAGGCTCAGGAAAGGTACTGTGGCCTCTGCCATCTCTCTTGTCCAGGAGAAAGCTTCCTTCCAGCTCTCGCCCTGATGCCAGGTAATTAATTTCCTCCCTCTGTGGTGGTGCCTTTTAAGCAAGCACCTGCCCCAGCACTAGGGCTCAGTGGGAGTGAGTCTGAATAAATTCATGTGCAAGCCCTTTAAGAGGACCTTTCTGGGTCCCCAGAAGCGCTCTGTCTCCTTCAGCCTCAGTGCCCCCTGTTTTTTACTTCCAGAAGTTATGGGGAATTCTCTTCCTGGCACTAGAACCTTGGGCTGGGGGCCTGGTGTTGGACTGGGACCCCTCACTCCTCAGTGGGGACCTCTGCAGCTACGATATTCTTCCTGATTTTTATAGGCCACATCTGGGTGTGGAACCAGCCTATTCCACATCTCTACCCTACCTACCAGTCTCAGTGTGGCTTCTTTAATTCCCTAGCTATAGGACTTCCATGCAGCCAAATTTCGGGTGGTTCTAAATTCTGGTTGTTTCTGCAGTTCAGTTATAATTTTGATATGGTTGTGGGAACAGGTGAGTACTGTTTTTACCTAAGCTGCCATCTGGACCAGAAATCTTCCAAAGGTATTCTGATTTTTGCCTAGTTTGTCAAGGGAAATTTGGATGAATTTGTTTTGTGATGGTATCACTGGTAAGTAATTACTAAGGAATCTAAAGTGGCTCCAGGTGCAAAATTTAAACTTTTTTTTTAATTTGGAATGTATAGGGAACTGATTTAGTATGTGTGTGCTAGAGAAGTTGCAATGCAACTTTGCCTATAAATGTACTGTTAACTGAAAATGTTTCCTTTTTTGCTTTTTAATAGAGTCACAATCCAGTGTGGTAAGTTCAAAGTTTTTATTCTTCATGTTTTTTACTTAATTATATTATTAGCATGCATATTTGAGATGGGACTCAGAATGATCTTTCAGTTAAATATTAAGCAGTACCACTTAAATACTCTTTTAGTAACTGAACTAGCATTGGAAAGCATCACACTTAGGCTGAATAATTGCTGCCTTGAAGGACTTACAGGGCTTATTATGGTATGCTAAAACACAAGTATTAAAATTTGGAAATGTTTATCTCTGTCTAACTTAGTTTTATGTTGTTGTTTTGGACATCAAAATTTTCAAGTTTTTTCCGTTACTAAAAATTATGGTGGAGAGGAAAATTGTTCAGTTTTTGTTTTAACCAACTTAGGCTTATGTGTAAGACACATAGTTAAATTATGGCTAATGGTTTTCTAGCAGTGATCATCTATATATATATTTAGTCAAGAAATAAAATGACAAGAGGTCTGGAAGTGTGTGTAGTCCTTTCTTCATGGGCAATTACTTAACCTTTTTGAGTCTTTTTTTCATCTCTAATGGAAGATATACATCTCTGTCTTCTAGAATTACATTGTGCCATTAAGCAAATCACTTATCCTCTGAGCTTTCTTCATGTGCATACTAGGCCTGAGAGAGCTAATCTGCTTCACCGCGTTGTTGTGAGCATCAGGCCAGTTACATGCTTAGGTAGTGACGGGGGCTTTAGAACATCATCAAAAATGAGCATTAGCTGGCTATCCATGTATCTCCAGGCTTGTTCCTATTCCTACAGATGTTGAGTGGGGGAATGGATTGAAGGAGGTATTTAAAAGTTGGCTTCCTTCACCTCAGTATTTTTGTGCAGGTCTCAACAATATTTGAGATTGGGACTAGACCTGAAAACAACACAGTGTCATTTGAATAACACAAACAGCTGTTTAGCCACAGTGTATGTTACCACTGCTATAGTTTAATCTAGTTTTATCTTGGTAGCAAGATTAACTGAAATAACCTGTTCTAGTTAGTACCTCCACTTAATATAATCTAGATTCAGGTGTTTCTCAATAGTTAACACTGGAGACTAAATCTGAGATACATTCAGCTCTTTCAAGTGGTTGTACTATATTTCCCCCAACCCCATCTCTTAACCTTTTTATTTAGGGACAATATAGAGGACAGCTGTAACCCAGGGCAAGTTCTTTAGATTTGCATAGTCTTAACTGGCACACATGTTGTTTAGGAAAGTAAGGATTGGTTGAGATTCATTTTGTTTATGATAAGCAATGTAGAGTGCTTGTTGCAGGGAGGCCATAGATGGAGTAAGGTGTTACCAGGAAGGCACCATGTAAATGTTGCTTTGTATGTTCAAGAGCAGAGTTTGTTGCCTGAAGGCTATAAAGTATTATAAAAAATGGTTTTTAAATGTTACTATTTTCAGTTTACAGAGTTAGTCTTGGAACTGGACATTTTATATGGACCCTTTTTCAATCATATCTTTAGAAAGTTTTGTTTTTATGCTTTTTTTATTTTAAAAGAAAAATTTATTTTGAAATTGAAACTCATTAAATTATAAAATGCTGAATGTGGTAGTTTTTTTTTGTGAAGCCTAGTATTATTTAACAATTATGGATGCCATGCTTTTTCTTTGAAGGAAGTTTTCATGTAGGTGGTTATCAAAGTTAACTTTTAAGTACTGGATAAATAGTGCATACATTTTGATATACAGTTGCTAAGCTAACTTGTAAAAATCTTTCTCTGTCAACTTGACAAAATCAGTCTGTATCCCAGAGGACTCACCAGGCAAAAATCAAGTAAGTGTTTCTTTTTGATAAACAATGCATGATAAATATGTCTGAAGCGGGGGGCGGGAGGGACCTCTTGTTTTTTAAATAATAAGCAAGTCCTTACCCTGTGATTTTAAGTATTTCCTAGTTTTTTTTTTAAGAATCATAACCCAGATAAACGATTTTTTAAAAAGATTTTATTTATTCTTAGAGAGAGGGAAAGGGAGGGAGAAAGGGAGAGAAACATTTGTGAGAGACACATGGACTGGTTGCCTCCTGCACACACACCCTGATGTGGAACTCGCCTGCATGTGCCCTTAACAGGAATGGAACTGGTGACTTTTGGCTTTGTGGGACGATGCCCAACCCACCGAGCTGCACTGGTCAGGGCCAGAAAAACTAAGTGTAAAAGACTGTTTACTTATGAGTGTTAGTATTTATATTAAGGTAAATTCAGATCATTTCTCTACTTTTAATTTGTTCCATCTGGTTTAATGTTATGTCACCATTCCATGTATTAAGGAGAGCCTCTTCCAATTAAGTTGTTTTTACACAGGTGAGTGAATTAGTAGTAGGCTTGATAGAATTTTAACTTCACGTGTCTTTTATGTTTGGAGTAAATTTTTTATGAGTTGAAAATAACTGTTGCTGAGGGCAGCAATTACAATAACGAATAAGCATCTAGCAAGTATTCAAATTTATTTTAAATTATTTATTAGCTATGTGTATAACTGGTAATGTTAGGACTGTAACAGAAACACAAGGCATTGACTTGGAGCTTTGCATCCTCACTGAATTTCAGAGGGAAGCTCTGAGACTTGTAAAGTTCATTGCTTTAATCAAGGTGCATTTTAATTACCTAAAATGGCTTGGAAATGGGGAATCAAAGCAGTTTGCTCATGTTCTTTCTAGGGAGGTAAACAGTGACTCTCCAAAGACCAAGTATATAAGGAACTTTGACTAGCTTGGTGGCAGCAGCAGGGGCAGAACACATAACTATCAAATAATTACGGTTTTTGGAGCATAAACTAGTCCAATGTTGACTTAATAACTATACCGTATACCAGGCACTGTGCTTATTAGTCTTGGAAAAGTGATAGTGACATGATAAATAGCTTTGCCCTCATGGTGTTTATAATGTAGTTTAATTTGAAAGTGAGGATTCTTTTTCTTTTTCTTTTTTTTTTAGCTTTTGGTATGAAAGATACACAGAATCTCTAAGCACACTAGTTTTCCCACATACCTTGAGATTGAAGGAAGATATTGTGTTTAATTTGTGCCTGGCAGAATGAGCTAAAGTTTAAATTATTTTAATTTTAGCTTATTTGCTTCTCCCTGTGCTCAGGGCTGTTTGCTCCCAGCTTGAGTTAAGAGATTTCAAGAGTGTATGTCAAGCTGACCTGGGTCCATGGGCTGACTGCTTCACCCTTGTGAACATAGATTTGTTCATCTGTTAAAAAGGCATAGATGTGCCTCGTTTAGTGTTGAATTGAAATGGAAGTGTCAAACCTAGTGATAGTGTAAAATAACTGTTAGCCATTTAGAATGCATTTCTTTAACATTAGCTTAAGCACAACAGAATTAGATGTAAGTCAGAATCCCAAAAAAATCATGTTAAGTATTTAAATCCGATGGAAAGATTTGGGGCATCATCTACCTTACTGTTGTCTTCTATGTGTACAAATCATAGGCAGGCAGTTACATAAAATTATTTGTGAATCAGCAACTGCTTTGCTATTTTGTTCCTCAAGGTGGAGCTCTTGTTTATCAGATTACAGTTTCTATCTTGACAAAACAAAAGCAACAACTAAAAACTAGAATTTCTGTTTTTTTTCTTTTTTAATAGGTATGACTGGTATCAAACAGAATCGCAAGTAATCATAACACTTATGATCAAGAATGTTCAGAAGAATGATGTAAATGTGGAATTCTCAGAAAAAGAGGTCATTAGTCTTTGAACCATTTTTTATGTTGAGATTAAATATTTTTATTTGCAAGTAGAGTGTATTACAAAATAACCTGTAGCAGTTTATCAGGTACATCGTTTTATCCTGACATAATGTGGAAAGCACTGACGGAAATCTAAAGCGTTTCTTTTCAATTTGAATTATCTTAAGTTTGAGACAAGAGTATATATACTGTAGGTTATAGCTAGATGTGCATTTTATTTCTTTACCTTTGTAATTCAAGGTGGAACATGGTTGACAAATATAAAAGATTAGTAAGATACATGATTTGATTACATTTATGTGGTATACGTCATGACGAAAGTTTGTGTGATTTATACATCTTATAATTTACTAATGATATTAAATGAGTATGGCTTAATATCTTGGTTTCTTAGAATTTAGTCGAAAACTTTATGATATACATTTTAAGAGTTGTAGAAATAGATGTTTTGCTTACGATTATTTTCTTTTATACTGTATCATTTTGCTCCCCTGTCTTGGGTTTCCTTGAGTAAATATTAAGTATGTGTTTTAAAACATTATTTTCTACTATTTAATTGTGTATATGAGAATCTCTTTGAAGGATACTAGATGGAAAAAAAGGATTATTTTGAAATTCTTAAATCTGATACTTACGTAAAGTGTTTAGTCTGCAACAATATTAAAGTTCTGTAAGTGCGTTTAAGTATTCTTTATTATATAAATTTATAAATTGTGCTGCTAATTTTGTGTTCATTAGTTGTCTGCTTTGGTGAAACTTCCTTCTGGAGAGGATTACAATTTGAAACTGAGACTTCTTCATCCTGTAATACCAGAACAGAGCACATTTAAAGTACTTTCAACAAAGGTAAGACAGTTGAAAAGAATTTTCAGTAGTAATATTTTCAAAATACAGAAACATTAGTCAGTTAATCACCTACATGATTATAAGCTTGTAGATCCTTCCAGCTACATATTTTTAAAAGGGACACGTAAATAACAATAAAATTTGAGTAACAATTTTTCCCTGCCAAAATTCTAGAACAATAGAGTGTAAAAATGTACTTAACCTCAGCAGTGTTTGTATACTTAAGATAGGTATAATAGTTTTCAATAAAGAGTTTTTTTAGAAAGATACCTCTCTCTCAACCTCTCTCTCAGATTTGATACTGGCAGTGTCTCGTCTCTTGAACTTGTCAGTCTGGCTGTTTTGAAATACAGATGTTTTTCTCACTCTACCTTATTCAGTTAAAAATGCAAACTTTTGTGATGTTTTATCTGCTCTTTTGTTTTTTAAGCTGAATTTTAGGTTACTTTGATGTGAGAGATTAATAAATAGTTTAAATTGCAGTTTGAGTGTATAATTCCTAGATTTCTTTATATTTTAAAAAATAAACTATACAATAGAATTAAAATTCAGAGAATATTTTATATATCAATCAAAAGATGTAGATTGTAGTATAACTTAGTAGGAAAAATAACTGAAAATAAAATACCTGGCTGTGTCTTGCTTGCCCTATAAATTTAAACTAGTCACGCAGTGACTAGAGAACTAAATTTTCATCTATAAATATGAAGGCTATGGATTAAATGAGCTCTGAATTTCTTTTTATCTGTAAATTGTATGGTGGTATATGATAGGTTAATGGGAATGAATGATGAAATAGACATTTTTCGTTGCTACACCTTTCTACATGTCCTGCATTATATTGTGTTGTTAACTATTGAGTCTTAAGTTCTAAGAATATGTGAATTTCCCTACAATAGAGTAGACTCAGGGTCAGCCTATGTCATGAAGAGTGGTAACTGGGTCTGCAGAAGGAAGAGGAAGGTTGGAACAGGAAGTGCAAAGTAAAGAAGCAGGGTTTTTTTGTTGTTGTTTTTGTTTTATTTGCATCTAGTTAAAAATTATCTGCCCACTTGTTTGAAGATTACAAAGTACAAAGCGGTATAATCAGGCTGAGGGAGAAAACAGTTGCTTCGACCATAGAAAGTGAGTAAAGGTATGAATCTTATCAAGATTTCAGTCTTACTAGCCCCATCCACATTGTATAAAACTTGTTTAATAAAAAAAATACTGGGTAAAGTAAGCAAGCACAAAATACAGTCTAGATTTGGGAGGGAAGCAGGTCAGAAAATTACGAGTTTGGCATTGTTGTACGTATTTCTATAAGAGGTTGTCAATACATGTCCTTTTGAAGTAATTTAAATGTAAACAAATTTGTCTGAATAGATGGTAAATGACTTAAAAATTTGTATTACTGAGGCACTCCATATATTGATTTGGCCAAAAAGTTTATTTAGTTTTTTCTGTACAGTGGCTCTCCTAATGCTTAGTTGTCTTCAACTTCATTCGAAACAATTTTGTTAGATTGTATTGTGGCGGCTGTCATATCAGCATGCATTTTAAAAAAACATCAAAATTGGTGAATTTTTGTGCAGCCATTTTACCATTGAAGATGGAAGGAGATAAGAATGTTTTTACTTTATTATGCTTTATTATTTCAAGAACGGTAAAAATGCAACTGAAATGCAAAAAAAGATTTGTGTAGTGTATGGAGAAGATGCTGTGACTGACTAAATGTGTCAGAAGTGGTTTGCGAAGTTTCTTGATACTATTAACATTTTGGCCAAATAATTCGTTGCTGTGGGGCTGTCTTATGCATTGGGAAATGTTTAGAGCCTTTACCCACTAGAAGACAATACTGGGAGATAGCTGACATACTCAAAATATACAAATCAATGAAGTTATTGATGAAAATGAAAAATGTGTCTTTTCTTTTACAGATAAACTAAATTGACTTTTTGGCCAACCCAGTACTTAGGAAGAATAGTATGTGTGGTAGATACAAAGAACAAATTGATTAATGATTGCCAGGTGGGAGAGGGGTTGAGGGGTTGGGTGGAAATGGTGAAAGGGATTAAGTACAAATTGCCAGTTATAAAAATAGTTATAAGAATATGAAGTACAGCATAGGAACTATAGTCAGTAATATTGTTATTAACTACATACAGTGTCAGATAGATACTAGACTTGTCAGGGAACACTTCATTAGTTATATAAATGCCTAATCATTGTGCTTATATAATATTGTATGTCACCTATAATTAAAAAATAAAAGAAAAAGAATAATTTGTTTGGTAAATACATGAGTCTTGTGTGGCTAGAGTTGAGGATGTAACTAAACACTGTCATCTCAATTCAGTTTTTTTCTGTTTTGAGTCTTGTCAGCGCTTGTTGATTCTAACCATTCCCCTAACACCTCTTACTCTGTTCCCAATTTGCCTTCTTTTGCTTTTCCCTACCTTTTTAAAGATTTTATTTATTTATTTTTAGAGAGGGGATGAGAGGGAGACATCAATGTATGGTTGCATTTCACACACCCCCTGCTGGGGGGGACCTGCGCTGCAGCCCAGGCATGTGCCCTACACAGGGGTGCAAACTGGTGACCCTTTGGTTCACAGGCCAGCGCTCATTCCACTGAGCCACCCCAGCCCCTTCTTTAAATATTATATTACTACTTTCCTTTCTTGTATACTTTAATTATATGTATATTTTATTTCCCTTGTATTTAGTAAGTCTTTTTAGGATAAGAATCATGTCATATTTTTGTCTTTGTACATGCTCCAGGTAGGGTTACCAGATAAAGTACAGGATGCCCAGTTAACCTTATACACTTAGACTGATTTATTTTTTTTTAAGTAAAGTATGTTCCATTTGCTAAATTTGGCAACCCAAGCCCTATGCATTTTGTATAGCGGGTACTCAGTAATTGTTTAGTGAATGAATTTAAATTAGGTTTTGATGTTACACTATGAAGTTGGCAGAGTATTTGCATTTTTAGTTTTACAGATAAAACGAAACTGAGGTTCATGGACTTCAAATGCTTCCCCCAAGGTCATGTAGTTACTGCATTATTCAGTCTGGTCTAGGAGGAATGCTTATACTTCTCTACACCTAGTGCTTCTTTGCTTAGGCTTTTTTTCTAAGTTTCAGATTAAAGAACGAAGATTCTAAGGATGCATTGCGAAGGATGATTATTTCTCTTGTCCTAATACAAAATAACATATATTATTCTGTTAGACTACCAACTTATTTTTTTTATAGATTTTATTTATTTTTAGAGAGAGGGGAAGGGACGGAGAACGAGAGGGAGAGAAACATCACTGTGTGGTTGCCTCTTGCTTGCCCCCTACTGGGGACCTGGCCCACAACCCAGGCATGTGCCCTGGCGGGGGATCGAACCAGCAGCTCCTTGATTGATAGGCTGGCACTCAATCCACTGAGCCAAACCAGCCAAGGCTAGACTACCAACTTTTAAGCTGTACAGTATGTCCTTACTTAAAGTCGTCTGTAGTTTCTGTGACTTTAAGCTAAACAAGGTCTCATGAAATCAGTTTTCTATAGGCTGATTGGCATAATAATATGAACGAGTTAAGTTCCTGTGGCATCTTACCAACTTTATAACTAAATGATGTTGAAGGAAACGATGCTATTCAAAGGCCTGTCATAATTATATCTAAGGGAAATGAAAATTTGTGTTCTTTTCCACACAGCAGATGGAGGTAGTGTTAAAATACTGAAAATAAAACCTTTCTCTGGGTTACTGGGAGTTATTTAGTGATGACACTAAGGGAAAAGAAATGAAGTAACTTGCTTTTCATATGTGTTCAGATGTCTCGACTCCTTTATGTGAATTGAGAAAAGTATGCGTTTTGCTCAGAGGAATTTGCTTAAAATGAGAGATTCTGTAAACACTGGTTTAAGGGGGTTGTTTGTTTTCTTTCTGCCTTCGTGAATTCTGTTTTTTCCCCGCACCTTTGAAGTTGAGCAAATGTTGCATATTCACGTATAACGATTGGTTAAGTGTTATTAATTCAAGTGAAAAATTAATATAATTTGCAGTGAAATTTAGAAGAACTAGGATCCTTAAATTAATGAATAGCACTTCTTAACTAAATATTTTACAGAGTGATAGGTAATGTTTTACCAAGTCAGAATTCATATTTCTCCAGTATCTCTTATAGTTATTTTTACTTTTTACTGAATACCAGCTTTCATATCTGCCTATTAACCCATTTTATTTATTAAGAAAATGTAATGTTCTTTTGTTCCATCTTGTTAATTTCATGACACTATTCTCTGGTCACAATCACAGGATTATAACTTCAGTGACAGACCTGAAATATTCATTTTTAAAGATTAATACTCATTACCTCAAAAATATTAGAATTCTGAAAATCTTTTGGAGTAAATTTGCCTTTGTGGAAATGTTTGTGTATTCCTATTTTAGTCAAAGTAATTTTTCTGTATTACATCAATATAAAATGTGAAGGCTTTTAACTAGAACCATGGGAAATGAAAATGTGTTTCTTTAATTAGAGACAAATAGCTCCCTTCTCCCTCCTTAACCCACTAGAATTGGAGAGGTTTTAGAGTAAATTTCTTTTCTTAATATTCTTAGGAGAATTCAGGGATGATGGAATGGAGCGACAGTGTCTGGGGAGGCTACTGCGTTTTGAACACACAGATGCAGGGCTTGGGGATTGTCCTTTTGTCTTTTTGATACAGGAGTGGTAATAGTGATTTTTTTTTTTTAAATAACTTATTAGTTGCTGATATCTACAAATTGTAGATCTTGGATTATATAGTCTTGCCACCTTTTCTATTAATGTACATTTATATATTTTTAAATGAGAAGAATTTTACTATACATACCATCAGTAGCTGTCTTTTTAAACTTAGCCATACATGAACATTACGTGGACTGAAATAGGAATACAAGATTTTTTTTTCATGCCCTTAAATAATCTGTTGCAAAGTAATTCATTGTATATATTTACTGGAACTTACTTAGCCAGTCCATATTGTTTGGCCTGTGGAGAATATAGGAGGTAACTGTTTTGACTGCATGTATTATCCTATGCAGTCCTCACAGTTATTGCACAGTGTAGGTATTTTTGTCATCTATTTACAGGTATGGAAACTGTACCCCAGAGACGTAAAATAATTTACTCATTTTTTTTTAGCTAGTCATAATGATGATAAAGAGATTGCTATTCAGTTATTTGCTGGACAGAGTTCTATCTTCTTGTCATACGTGGTCTCAGTTAAACCTTGTAAGAACCGTAAGTGAAGTAGGCCCTGTTAATCCTATCTTACCGGAGAAACTAAGGCTCGGTGGAATTAGTTACTTGCTCAAGGTCATATATCCAATAAGTTTCAACTATTTGTGACTCTTTTATAAATCCACAACTGATTATAGTCTTGTTCTCAACCTCTGCTTGCTTCTGAGGAAATAAGTAAAACTTCTAACAGTAAAAGACACTTTGAGCAAGTTACTGTATCTCCTGGCTCCCTCATCTCTAAAAATTGGATGGTAATCTTTTATAGGGTTCTGTTGAGTGAGATGATAAATATGAAGCTCTTTGTACACGGGTTATATAACACATGCTCAGTAAATATTACTACTATTAATATTTTATCCCAATTAGATTTTTATTTAGATTGTAAAAGCAATAAATACATTTTAGAGAGTTTGGAAAAATGTAAAGAAGCTGAGAAAGTAATCAGTCAGTCTTATTACTGATGAAATTTTGTCATATTTCCTTCCAGACAACTAGATTTCCCAATACTTAGGTGTGTCACTACAGGATGATATATTCTGGCATTTTTTTGTTCATGGGAAACGTCTCTTCTGATTGATTTTAAGAAGAAAAGAGGCTGTGACCTTATATACCAGTGTAGTGCCTGGCTCAGAGTAGGCACTAAGTAAATGTTTGCATTAAGCTATTAGAACTTGGGAGGAGATTTTTTTCAGTTCTTCTTCATTCATTACCATCTGTTGCATTTTAAAAAATGATTTCAAAATGATTTGAATATAAAAGTAAAGAAGCTAGATGTTGCACTCTGGCCTCAGGAAGACTGAGCTACTCTGTTATTGGACAAAGGGGTTTGATACAGCAATTAAATGTATAAAGAGCTGAGTAAGAAAATGTTGGGAAAATTGCATTCTGAAGATTCTCTTATTAAGGGGGTCAGTTATTTTGTGACTACAGTCTTGAAACAGTTCTCAGAAGCTTGCCAGAAAAAAATAGTTTACCAGTAAACTGTACAACTTTCTAGTGTCTGGGAAAGATCCCTTCACTGTCAAAGTGTAGCATTAAGTTGGAGCCTACGTAGCAATTCTTAGAAACCCAGTAAGTATAATGGCTTCTCTGTAAGTCTGAAGTTCCTTTTATTGGAAAAAATTAGGCTCTCTGCTGTGCAAAGGGAACATTAGAGGTGGAAGAGAGTCCATGTAATATTGACAACTGACAATCGAGCACAGTAGGAATTCTTAGCAACTGGTGCTCCTCTGTGCATAGGAGAGCAATATTCAAGCAAAATACCGAAGTTTTAAGTTAACTTTTAAATTAATTTAGACTTAAATGAAAATATAGCGTAAATGAAAATAGGTTGTAAAGATATCTGAAATTGAACTGGTGGTAACTCTAGAAGTATTTGGCAGAATAAAGACTTAAACTTCATTTTTAAAGCATCAGAAGTGAAGTAGGTGTGTAAAAAGGAATCACCCCTTTTTTAAAAATTAGTTTCTCCCCACCCCCTTTTTACCTTTTAGAAAAAGCTGCTTTAAATTGTTCTATTTTGTGCAGCTATTTTAATGAATGGATTAAATACAATTTCAAGGTCAGGTCAGTGTATCTCAGTTGAAACAGGTTGTTACTAAGAGCTTTGACTTTCACTTTATAGAACCCTCTTTGATTGTACTACACAATTACTCAACTTATAGTGGCTTTCAGTAGATGCCAGTGCTAGTATGTGCTGTTCTTCAGGTAAAACGAGGAACATTTTATAAATAGCGCCTAGCATGGGGGCATAAGGTGTGAATATAGGGTGCCCTGTGGCAGAGGTTAGTTAAGGATAGTGTTTCTGTACACCCTGCTTGCTAGGTCTTCATTTCTAGATCAGTGGAAAGTTAAAGGAACAAGATGGCAATTTTAAATTTTAGGATAATATTAATAGTGCTTTTCAGTAACTACTATGTCATTGCCAGCTAATTTGACTTTTCTCCCTTTTAGATATATATCAGCAGTGACAACTTAAAATAACCAGAGTGAAATCACTTAATACTGTGTATGAGAAAATGGTGGTGGTATTTTACAGTATAAAAATTAATCATAGCTTATTTCAGGGAACCCTAGTGATTCTATTAAAAAGTTGTGTTTATTTAGAATTTAAACATATATGTTAAATTAAAAATACTATACTTTTTGTCCCTTTCCCAGTTATGTTTTCTCTCATGAAACAATTGTTACCTTTCTACACTCATAAAAATATCTTATTACTCAGAGACCACACCCCTTCTATACCATCCATTCATGTCGGATGAAACTATTGAGGCGTATTTGTTAAGTGTTTTATTAAGGTATTATAAAATGCTAATTTTAAGTTTTCTCTCACTAAATGCAGGTTTTAGAAAGATTACCAATAATTCCTAATTTAAAGTAAAAGAGGCTTTTAGAATGTTGGTAACGTTTTAATAAGTGACCTTAGTTTAGCATTCAGAAGCTGTTCATAGTCTGCCCTACACCTTTTATTTCCACCCGTATTTTTCATTGTTCTAACATAAATCCTGGACTTGAGGCCAAGTAGTCTCCTCCCTACTCCCTGGTATGCACAGTGCCCTTTCATATCTCATGGCTCCAGTTTTAGGCTATTCCTTTTGCTTCTGGAGACCTACGCTGTCCACCATAGCCTATGCTCCTTCTTCTCACAGTTCTTCACAGGTACCCTGAAACCTTACCTGTTCACATCTAGGTGTGATGTCTGCTGAGCTTTTAGAATATTTATTTGCCTCTCGAGTAACTTTCAAGTGTCTCACATACCTCCAAATGGTCAAGGACATGTCTTGAGTATTTAAAAAATCCCCACATCCCTTGCTCATAGTGAGTGTTTAATAAATATTGAACAAATGATTATGAAAATGTTGGTATTGTATTTTTTTTTATACAGTGGAATGAGTTTATTTTAAAACAGTTTAATGTATATATGCATATGTAGTGATTTTAGAACAGGGTTTCTTGGTGGGGGCACTGTTGCCGTTTTGGGCTGCATAATTATGGGGGTTTGTGTTGTAGGATATAGAATATTTAGTAGCACTTCGTATTCTCTCCTCACTAGATGGCAGTAGCACCCCTCCTCCCCACCCCTGTTGTGTGACGACCAGCTATGTCTCCGTATCATGCCAAATGTCTCCTGGGGGTCAGTATCACTCCTGGTTGAAAACACGGCTTTGGAAGGAAAAAAAAACAAGGATTTCAAGATTCTTCTTAATTGTAGTTTATAATGTATGTATGTTTTTGAAGGGCTTTTAGGTAAAAACAAATGTTTCAGAAGTCTTCAAATTTATCCGTGTGTAATCTAATGAAACTGAAGGACACTATTAATTCTTATAAAACTTTGATGACTTAAGAAAATTGCAATTTTGTGTGTGTTTTACTTTAAATAATGGATTTTATTTAATGTTCCCTCCAGATTGAAATTAAAATGAAAAAGCCAGAGGCTGTGAGATGGGAAAAGCTAGAGGGGCAAGGAGATGTGCCTAAACCAAAACAGTTCGTAGCAGGTTTGTTTTCTGGCCTTGATGAGCTTTAAATTCAAATTGTGTTACACAGTTGAAATTAAATAGTAATGAGCATTCTTTCTGCTTTCATTATTTATGTTGCCAATATAAGATACATCTAGTATAATAAGGTTGCTCTGTAATGAATACAAATTAGCCTTTTCTTTTGAAGGTCCAGGCTTAAACTCAAAGAGTATAAATGAATGGCAGCAAAAGTCCAGAGAGAATTGGAATTTATTGTTTACCTTGTCAGTTTATGACACTAGTTGGGGGTTGTTTGGTTTTTTGTGTTGGCTTTTCCTGTTGCTGCTTTTTGGGTATTAAGTGAATTTGTGATTTACTGATACATTTCTTCCTCTTCCCTCTCCCTTCTTTCTTGTTCCTTTCAATTCTTATATTGTCAACTGTAATTTCCTGGGATATCAGGGCTTCACTGAATATCTTACCCATTTTATTATGTTGCTAATATAGAGATGGAAGCAAACAAGTAATGAATGCCTAAGGAAAGCCTAGAAGAAAAGTATAAAAGTAGGGTTCATATGTTTAACCTTTTAAGGGACAGACTATGTTAAGGTCAATACTAAGCATATACAATAGGCAGGTATTTCCTAATGGCATAATCTGTAGGACACTGTTAGAACTATAACCTAAGACTATATTTTACAGCAGTGGCTGTAAATGAATGAATGGGAGAAATAACTTTTTGATTAGAGTTAATGCTTTGATTTAATGATTGACATGAGGTAATATTATGTTTCAGCTACTTTTAGATTTTTTACTGCTTTCTTCTTTAACAGAAAACACATTTCCTTGTGGCAGCTTTTAGAAAATACAGATATAGCTAACAGATCATTCATTTTATTATTTCTATTTTGACATAATTTTAGATTCTCATAGAAGTTGCAGGAAGAGTTCCCATGTACCCTTCACCCAGATTCCTTGCATGATAATATTATAACTAAGCTGTAGAATAAGTAGCAAGACCAGGAAGCCAACACTAATGGATAATTTTTAAGAATGAAATTTTGGCTTGGATAATTAATGAAATTTCAAGTTGATATTTAAGCTATTTAATTAAGGTTCTTCCCGTTTTATTTGAAAGACATAGTAAAAATGTTATGTGCTTCTATTAGGGCTGATTCCTAGAGATTTTGGGGCTGAGATTTATGTATAGCTCAAAGTATTTGTTAAGAGAAACACTTTAAATGTATCTCATTTAATTCTAAGAACAGCCCTGTATAGTAGGCAGTCTAGTATTATTTCTCCTGTTCTATGATCTCAGGAAGGAAAAACAACTTGTTTAAGATCACCTAATATTTTTTATTGTCTAGGACTAAACCCAGGTCTTCAGAGCCTGGGTCTGGTTCTTCTGGTAACCTCCTATATTTTACTGCTTGTTGCTGCATTTTCTTTCTAACAGTGGAAAGTCTCTGCTGACATGAGTATCTTTGCAGTTTTTTGATATTATAGTGAGTGAACAAGAAAGTTGGGTTACTCATCTCTCAGTAATTCATCTACTACTATCTGTGGATGTTAAAATTTTTCTGAGATCACCTATAAAGGTTTTCTTAGTTTTACAGACTTTCTAAATTCAGTGCTTTGCATATTCATAAAGATGCTCTTCCTCCTGTCCTATTACATTTTTGTAAGGAATTAATATGCTTGTCAGATTTCTGTGTACTGCAAGCTGCAGACAGCAGATAAGGGCACATTGCTTAGCATATCTGGGCAGTGGAGATTAGAACCTGTGCTCCCATTCTTCTGGGAAGTCTGCATTAGGATTAATTAAACCCATGTTTCCTAGGCTCTTAATTTTCACGGCAATTAAAAAGAAATTTCCTTTGGGTACTATTGATAATGTACAGAGATAGAGGAGATTACTAGTAGAGGAAGGGTAGGTTGGATTTGGAAAATAGTATGCTTGTCCTTTATAAAACCGTGTGGTTTGTTGTGACTTTGTTTTGAGGTGAGAATGGGCAGGGAGAAAGTTGGTTTGTAGGTGAAGACAAAGGATGGAGAAAACAGAATGAACAATCAGTAGTTTCTCAACTCTTTTGAGGAAGGAAGTATAGAGAGGCAGTAGTTGAAGAAGCACGTTTAGATTAGCATTAATGTGTCTTAATATATTGATAGGGAATCTTTGAATTGGGGTTTTTTGGGGGGTTTTTTTTTTAAGCTCTATAGCTGTGTTGTCCATTATAGTAGTTGCTGGCCTCATGTACCTCTTAAGCACTTGAAATAAGACTAGCCTGAACTGAGATGTGCTCTAAGTGTAAAATACATTTTATTTTTATTTCATATTGAAATGATATATTTTGGATCTATTAGGTTAAATAAAATATATTATTAAAATGCATTATACCTCCTTCTTTCTAGTGAGGTGGCTACTAGAAATTTCAAGATTATATTTGTGGCTCACATTGTGGCTTGCATTGTATTTCCATTGGGCAGTGAACAGAATTGCTTTTCTATTTACTAGGTAGATTAGTTACTTTTAAATTATTTGTGTACCAAGATCTTGTTCCGTTAGTCTTTGGGGCAGCCTTGACAGTGCTCTGAGTCCCTGGGCTGGTAGTCCGTGAGCTGTGAACAGCCTCGATTTATTTGCTGTGTGTGCATGCAGTGGGCGCTAAACTTTAGGTTGCCCCCATATAATACTGTTCAACGTTCAGGAATTCCTTATTATCCCCTATTTAAGTAATCTAATATTTTTAATGTGGGGAGAGGATAAAGTCTTAACTCCCTGCTGAATGGCATGGATAATTATTTATATTTTTAGTTTATTTCTACTCTAAAAGATAAATATCTCAGAAAAAGCCATCTTTATTATTTAATTTTTAAAAAAGACTTTATTTTATTTTTAGACAGAGGGGGAGGGAGAAAGAGAGGGAGAGAAACATCAATGTGTTGTTGCCTACTCCGGACCTCGCCCACAACCCAGGCATGTGTCCTGACTGAGAATCAGACCTGCAACCCTTGGGTCCTCAGGCCAGCTCACACTCAATCCACTTAGCCACTCCAGCCAGGGCCAAAAACAAAACAACAAAAAAATACCCCACATTTTTTACATTAAAGTCTTGTTTATAAGAGAAATTTCTTAATAAGCAACTTTTTGAAAAAATACTAATTTTAGAATTATTTGTACTGTCTTTGCAACTTTTCTGTAAATATAAAAAGTTCTTGTATACTTCTCACTGAGTTTCCATTATTAACACGAGGAATCTCTTTTTAACCTAATTTTGCCTAATGTACCAAAAGTTTGCACTTTATTGAGTTAGTTTATTCAAAAGAAAGTCCTCAGTTTTACATTATGTTGATACGGTTTTTAGAAGTGTAAATTTAATTACTGATGTGTGTATCAGAAAGATACTTATTTCAAACATGAAATTCAATCACCTCTTATTTGTTAAGGTGTTCTGTACCATGGTCACAAAGTTGAAATAGTCTTGGCATAATCAACATGTTCATTAATTACTACTTTTTACTCCATAGATGTAAAAAACCTATATCCGTCATCATCTCACTATACAAGAAATTGGGATAAATTGGTCGGAGAGATCAAAGAAGAAGAAAAGAATGAGAAGTTGGAGGGAGATGCAGCTTTAAACAAACTATTTCAGCAGATCTATTCAGATGGTTCTGATGAAGTGAAGCGTGCCATGAACAAATCATTTGTAAGAACATGAACTTTAAAAAATATATCATGGTAGTAAATTTCAGAAATTTTAAAAGGAGACCTTTTTGAATAGAAATTGTCTGAACATTTCTCCTTGCTCTTAGAGTGATTATTGAGGATGTTGGATACTGGTGGAGGATATAAGAAACAAGCAGTTAATGCCAATTTTTTTTTTTTGTATTACTGAATTAAAACTGAAAAGGCTTAAGAAATACCAAGGTTACAGTGGGTGAAATGAAGTTACTCTAGTTGGGTTTATCACAATAGCTAAATGAGCCTCCATTGTTTACCTTTTACTATCAGGTATAGAGTCAGTGTCAGAGATGAGGAACAGAAAGGGAAACTTACAGAACAGTGTTTGGCAAGTGAAGGTTCACATTAATTTTTCATTGGTTAATAGTTTCTCTATTGATTAATAAAATTCAGGCTTTTTGCCAGGGTAGCATTAATGCTCTCTAAATTAGACCTCAAGTTCTGAGATCTTAATGACAAGTCATCACTCTAGAACTGTGAAGATTAATTTGCTTGAAAATGTAATCATTTGATTATTACCAGTAGAAAATGTTACTTTCTTAAGGCATTTGTATTTACAGTAGAAAGTTAAAATTAACATTTAGTAATTAAAATTAATATTTAGTTAATCAGTGTGTTTGAGGTTTAAATATTTCCCATAAGTTACCATGTGGTAACTGGTTATGATTGTGCTTTTCACTGTTGACTTAGAAAAATTTTATTTTAATTAAACTTCCTTTTGAGATAGTTGTAGATTCACATGCAGTTTTAAGAAATGAGGGAAATTCCTTGTTTCCTTTATAGTTTGCCCCTGTGGAAACATTTTACAAAACTGTAATACAGTATTACAACCATGATATTGACAGTTAAGATACAGAACATTTCTTTTGCCACAGGATCCTTCCTTGTTACTTTTTAGCCGTTCACATGTCCTTCCCACTCTTCCCCTTCCTTAACCCTTGGCAGCCGCTGTTCTGGAAAGTCATTGTCGGGTGTGTAATTTGCAGATATTTTCTCACAGGCTGTAACCTGTCTTATCATTTTCCTTATGATCTTTTGCAGAGCTAAAGTATTTAATTTTACACTTGATCTTAGCCAAAAGGCCAAGAAGTGATAAAACTATTTAATTTTGATGAAGAGTAATTTGTCAGTTTTTTCTGTGGATCATGCTTTTAGTGTCAAGTCTAAAATTCTTCCTAGTTCTGGATCTCAGAGATTTTTTCCAATATTTTTTTCTTTCAATAAAAGTTTTGTATTTTTACTTACTACATTTAAGTCCATAATCCATTTTGAATTATTTTTTATATAAAATGTGAGGTATAGGTTGAGGGGTTGGTTTGTTTTAGCTTATGTATGTTCCGTTGCTCCATATGTTGAAAAGATTGTCCTTTTTTAAAAAATGTAATCTAATCTTTATTGTATTTTTTATATTATCGTTTAGACCCCTTTTACCCTCCTTACCGCTGCAGTCACCACACTGTTCTCCACGTCCATGAGTCCTTTTCCCTTTTTGCTCAGTCCCTCCACCCCCTAACCTCCCCCTCACTCCTACCCCAGCTGTCGTCCTGCTCTCCATCTCTGGGTCTGTCCCCATTCTCCTTGTTTGTTCAGTTTGTTCATTAGATTCCACACATGAGTGAAATCATACGGTATTTTATTTCTCAGACTGGCTTATTTCACTTAGCATAATGTTCTCCAGGCCTATATATAGTCACAAAGGGTAAAATTTTCCTCTTTTTTACTGCCAAGTAGCATTCCATTGTGTAAATGTCCCATAATTGTTTTATCCACTCACCTACTGATGGACACCTGGACTGCTCCCTTATCTTGGTGATTGTAAATACCACTGCAGTGAACCATAAAGGTGCTTACGTTCTTTCAAGTTAGTGATTTGGGTTCCTTGGGATATATTCCCAAAAATGGGATAGCTGGGTCGAAAGGCAGATCCATTTTTAATTTTTTGAGATCTTGCCATACTGCTTTCCACAGTGGCTGCAGCAATCTGCATTCCCACCAACAGTGCAGAAGGGTTCCCCTTTCTCCACATCCTCACCAACACTTGTTGTTTGTTGATTTATTGATAATAGTCATTCTGACAGGTGTGAGATGATATCTTGTTGTGGTTTTAATTTGCATTTCTCTGATGATTAGTCACATTGAGCTTGTCTTCATATGTCCATTAGCCATCCATATTTCCTCTTTGGAGAAGTGTCTGTTCCGGTCCTTTCCCATTTTTTAATTGGGTTGTTGTTTTGGTGTTGAGTTTTGTAAGTTCTTCATAAATTTTGGATATTAACCTCTTATTAGATGTATCAGCAAATATGTTCTCCCATTCTGTGGGTTGTCTTTTTAATTTTTTGATGTTTTCCTTTGCTGTGCAAACCTTTTTGGTTTGATGTAGTCGCATTTGTTTAGTTTTTTCTTTTGTTTCCCTTGCCTGGGGAGATATTGCTGATAAAAAATTGCTACAAGCCGTATCCGAGATTTTGCTGCCTATGTTTTCTTCTACGATTTTTATGGTTTCAGGTCTAACATTTAAGTGTTTGACCCATTTTGAATTTATTTTTGTGTGTGGTGTAAGAAGGTGGTCTTGTTCCATTTTTCTACATGCATCTGTCATATTTTCCCAACACCATTTATTGAAGAAACTACTTTTAGCACATTGTGTGTGCTTGCTTCCTTTGTCACATATTAATTGACTATAAAGTTATGGGTTTATGTTGGGGCTCTCTATTCTGTTCCATTGATCTATGTGTCTTTTTTTATGCCAGTGCCATGCTGTTTTGATTTATGGCCTTGTAGTATAGTTTGATATTAGGCGGTATGATTGTTCCAGCTTTGTTCTTCTTAGGATCGCTGTTGCTATCTGGGGCCTTTTGTGGTCCCATATAAATTTTTTCTTTTTTTTTTTTTGCTCTTTTCAGTTTATTGCATGAAGGAGTTAACACTAGTCCAAGTTAAAAGCAGACCCCAAATGGTTACATTATACAAGCTGTGAGGTTTTTAAACTTGTGACAAGGGACAGAAGGGGAATTCTACTCATTGCAAGGAAATCCTCACTTAAGCTTCAGTGAGCCAAAAGCACTTAAAACCTATGAACCTTCAGCTGGTCATCCTTAGCCAGTCCAATCTCTACAAGGAACTGGCATATGTTCTTGCGCTGGTCACCCTGTAGCTGAATTATTTCTCCATATTCTGGATGCTCAATTACAGTACCTTTGCAGGCAAATTTCTTCTTAAACGCCTTCACTAGTTTCTTTTTATCGTAATCATCAGCGATCCCTTGGACAGTAGTAAGGGTCTTCCTGCCGTTTCTCTGTTGAATTCTTATATGGATATAATCCTCAGTGCCAGCAGGAAGCAGATCATCACCCTTACTTGCATCAGCAAAGGGGTCGAAAGAGTGGAGGTTCTGGATAGCGGACATACAATACGATTCCTTTTCCTCGGTGGAAACGGCCTGCGGAAGCCTGCGGCGGGAGAAGGTGGACGGGGGGGATGGAGTGTCGGGAAACGAGGGGGGCTCAAGGGGAAGGTAGCTGAGTCCTCGGTGGCGGCTCAGCAACTGGGCTGGTCCCATATAAATTTTTGAAATACTTGTTTTAGTTCTGTGAAGTACATCATTGGAATCTTGATAGGAATTGTGTTGAATCTATAGATTGCTTTGGGTAATATGGACACTTTAATGAGGTTAATTCTTCCATCCATTAACATGGTATGCATTTCCACTTATTTTTATCTTCAGTTTCTTTCTTCAGTGTCTTGTAATTTTCTGAGTACAGAAAACCTTCAGTAGGTTTATTCGTAGGTATTTTATTTTTGTAGCAGTTGTGAATGGGATTGTTGTCTTAATTTCCCATTTTGTTCATTTGTTTTGACATATAAAAATGCACCTGATTTCTGGATACTAATTTTGTATTCTACTTTGCTGAATTCATTTATCAGTTCTGGTAGTTTTTGGATGGAATCTTTGGGTTTCTCTATACAGTATCATGTCATCTGCAAATAAAGACAGTTCTACTTCTTCCTTTCCAATTTGGATGCCTTTTATTTCTTCTTGTCTGATTACTGTGGCTAAGACTTCCAGTATTACATTGAACGAGAGAAGTGAGAGTGGACATCCCTGTCTCGTTCCTGATCTTAAGGGGAATGCTTGCTGTTTTTGCCTATTGAGTATGACACTGGCAATGGATTTGTCATGTATGGCCCTCATTATGTTTAGATATGTTCCATCTAATCCCACTTTGCAGAGAGTTTTTATTATAAATAGGTGCTGGGTTTTATGAAATGCTTTTTTCTGCATCTGTTGATTTGATTATATAGTTTTTATCCTTCATTTTGTTTATGTGGTGAATCACATTTATTGATTAGCGAATGTTGTGTCAACCTTGCATTCCCAGAGTGAATCCACTTGATCGTGGTGTATAATCTTTTTGATGCATTACTATATTTGATTTGCTCATATTCTGTTGAGGATTTTTGCATCTATGTTCATCAGGGATATTGACCTGTAATTTTCTTTGTAGTGTCTCTATCTGGTTTTGGAATTGGGATAATGCTGGCCTCGTAAAATGAGTTTGGGAGGCTTCCTTACTCTTGAATTTTATGAAATAGCTTGACAAGAGAAGGTGTTAGTTCTCAGAATGTTTGTAAAATTCACCCACAAAGCCTTCTGGTCCAAAGCTTTAGTTTGTTAGGAATTTTTTTATTACTGCCTCGATTTCACTAGGTATAATCAATCTAACATTCTCTGATTCTTCCTGATTTAGTTTTGGAAAACTGTATATTTCTAGGAATTTATCCATTTCACCCAATTGTCCAGTTGGCATATGGTTGTTCATAATATTTTCTTACAGTCTTTGTATTTCTTTGGTGTCAGTTGTTATTTCTCCTCTTTCATTTCTCATTTTATTCATTTGGGTCCTTTTCTCTTTTTCTCTTGATAAGCCTGGTTAAAGGTTTGTTGATCTCATTTATGTTTTCGAA